ATTTGAAATTGTCTTTTTGAATCGGGTTTTGGAGATTGTTTGAGTTGTTGTGATCTGCAGGGTGGTTCGTTCCCGTTTAATTGGAAATCAGCTATGAAAAGAACACTTGAAAAGATAGCAACTGGCCCTTCTGCTCGTCTCGATAGGTAGCTTCCTTATTTTTCAGTTGATACCTTTATTATTATCGATTGTCTTAGCTGTATCAGTAAAAACGGGCCTTCGTGTGCAGTTGGCAGGTTTTAATATCAATGCCGAGTAGGATAGAGTTGGATACACCTTATTCTCTCAAGGCAACAGAACAAACACCTCTTGATCTGGTCTGTGGGTGAAGACTTAATTCGTCGTTTTCTTTTTTGTTTTTGCATTTTTTTTATTTGGTCTCAGCCTTTTGGAGTGTTCATGCCGAATCTATGTTAGGTGATTTGAGCATATTAACTTTAAATATATCGATATGATGTATTAACAACTACTTTGCCCTGTTTATCTCTAGTTTGGTTAGAATTTGTACTCATTTGTTCTGTTTAGTGTTTACCTTATGCATTTGATGGGAACTTTAACCATCTTTTTTTTCTTGGAATGATTTTCCCCTTTATATTTGNTCTTGCTATCAAGGAGTCTTTTATAACTATTTTAGCATAGGTCTGAATTCGAATGCCGACATTTTACCTCCTTTTATCTGTTGATATATAATGTCCTGGATGAAAAAAGTGTTATTTTTTTTTTTCGATAAAGGTATGGATGCACGAGTTGCTCACGGTTTCCATCATTTACGGAACGAAAGACCTTACCTTGCTCGAGGTCCCATCTCAAACAAGGTGAAAGATCTGACATTTGATCAGTTTTTCGAATTTTCGGTAAAGCTGTATTAAACTTGAACTTTCAGAGCAAAAAGAAATATAACATTATGTTGTAAAGCGACGGTATGCATAATTATTCAAGTTAGTTTGTGAATTTCATTTGTTAAAAACGGTACATTTAACTTTCAGTATGATGTTCTAAATTGTGTTTTACGAATGCCAGATGATTTATTCTGGATACAGTTGCACGCAAGGATGGTTCTGCACTCCGTGCAGCAGTGATCCCGGTTTAAGGTAATGCATTTGTCATATGTTTCATTTTGAAAGCATCGATTTTCATGTTGAAAAGTGTATTAATTGAACTTTATTCTTGTGTAAGGTCTCTGAAGAACATCCTAAGGATATACATTAAAAAGGTTCACGCATCAAAGTGGGAGCAAATCCCTGTACCCTTGAGGTCGATATTTCGAATTCATCTGAATCAGTTATTTAAGTATTTTAATTTGTTGATATATAATCTCACTCAGTCACTACCATTTTTTTTTCTTACCCACCGTTAAATGAGATTTTGATACATTTTGCTCAAATTGGCCTGAAAATGTTTGCTTTGCAATATTTTCCAGTGTGAGATCCATAGTTGCTCTTAATCTTCCTAACTATGGAAGTGGAAGAAATCCATGGGGAAAATTGAAGCCCAATTATCTTGAGAAGGTACGTAGATTGTGTACCATTAGCAAATTCAGTTTATTATCTTTCGAATATTCCAAACGCTACTTTACATAGAATATCCCGACTGAAATTTTGACAGCTCACGAGCTAAATGTTTGCATTGTCTTTAGAGAGGATTTGTCGAGGCCCATGCGGATGATGGGGTTTTGGAAATCTTCGGATTGAAACACGGATGGCATGCTTCGATGGTGATGGCTGAATTGATATCTGCAAAACACATAGCCCAGGTAAATTTGTACTGTAAAAACTAAAAAAGTAAAAATTGAAGAAAAAACTATGCAATTTCCGAAAAAAATAGATGTAATTTTCGAAAAACTGTACCTATGCTCTAGGTTTCGGCTGTCCGGTTCGAGCTCAGAGGTGGAGAATGGAAAAATTCGTACATGCAAATGGATGGAGAGCCGTGGAAACAACCGATGGATAAGGATTTCTCGACTTTTATCGAGATAAAGAGAGTGCCTCATCAATCGGTCATGATCGTGAGAGATTAGTTTCGGACGACAACACTTATTTTTTTTTTTTTTGGTTATATTTCTTATTTTGTGTAAATTAAGAAAAAAATTCTTGTTTGGTAGGGGCATCTGGTAAGAAGGTATCTATTACTGTTTCCAGCTTGGTGTTTGCTGTACATATTTATGTATGCATGCATTTTGAGGTTGAAGTAATTAATGACTCCAATTTACTTGTGGTGGCATCATATAGTTATTATGTTATGTTTTGGCCTTGATGCCAGATTGTATTTTGTGTTAAGAAATAGGAGAAACGTTTTTATTTGTCTCTTTTAAAGGAAAATGCAAATGATTTTGGTGTCAAGTGATTTTGTTTGGCCAGGCCTGCTAAATATCTTCTTTATCAAATTCCAGAAAAATATTCACATGCCTACAAGATCTGTAGAAACCTAAGATAATCCATGCAAATTAAGTTTTTGTTTCAGGTAGACCATAAAGTTTTTTTCTCGTTTCAGGTAGGCCATAAGTTTTTTTCTCGTTTAAGCTTGCCTGGAAACGGGGCAGATGGCTTCAGGGAATTCTATTAAGTTCTTAGTACATATATAAGGAAACATAAATGTTTTTGTTTTGTT